GCGCAGGTGCATACCCACTGCGCTCGAAAGCTGCCGCCCTTTCCGCAATGGAATTGCTGCGACTTAGCGGGCGTCTTCGTTCCTCCATAGGGTTCCGAGGTTGCTGCTTGGGCACAGACGCTTGTGGAGGAATTGCGCCAATCGGCGGCTTCGGCGTCGCAGATCGAGGCACCTCCATATGCACGTCTGGCCCAGGGCTCTGAGAGCTCGCCTTCGGTTTCGGCTCCGAAGACGGCTTAGGTGTCGGGGGTTCACTCTTAGCCTTCGAAGTTAGTGGGAGTGGGGGCTTCCTAGCCCCCTTCATGTAGATCGTGCTGGGATCCTCCAACATCTTGCGAGTTGCCTCGCGTGTGCGTTCTTCTACTGTCCGAATACGCTCCTCATCCTCCGCCACACGTTGAGCCTTTATCTCATCCTTGATTGTCGGTTCTGGTTGTTGGGACTGGCTAGAGACGCCAGGCGAGTTTCCTCGCATGCTAGGAAGACTGAAGAGCGCGTCTTTCTCTTCCTGGGTCATGGCTACCAGTCCCCTTGGAACCGGGGTAGGCTTTTCTTCTTCTTTCGGATCCAAGTGGCTCAAGATCCCGAGACGACGATTCACTTCCGCGATCTCGTCCTGCGTCATCGGGATAAGTGGCGGATGGCCCTCTTTAGGAGGGGTTTTGCCCCTGTTGGGGCTCAGGCCTTCGTTGTTGCCAACGGGGCATCCTGGCCTGTGATTCTGGAACGGCTGGGAACAAGGTCCGCATGCTGCGTGAGGCCTATACTGCTTGCGCGCCGCGATAATATCTCGTAACTGAGTCCGCACTTCTTGAATTTCAGGGCGGCGGATGTTTGTTGCAAGCTGATAGCCTCCGCGGATGGGCTTGCCATCGCTGTCCCTATAGGCAGGGTTGCCCTGGCCGAAGGCCGAGTGTTCCCCTTTTCGGCGTCTTGGGTCGTTGTACGGAAGTAGCTGGCCACCTCTCCTGAGAGCGTGTTCTTTTGGGCCAGCCTGTCTCCACTCACGAGGAAGTCGAGCCTGGGGATGTGGCTCTTCTCTGACGCGCGTATGGGAACGAGATCTTCCGGTGTTCTCATCAGAGGAAGCTGCCGATGCAGCAGGAGCGGCACCCGGTGGAGGTGCCTGAGAGGGCTCCTGTGCAATCCCAGATGGATCATCCGATGGAGGCAGGTCTCCCTGCTGGGTGGAGCTCGGCGCAAATGGCGCTTGTGCCGATGGTGATGATGATTCAGACTCATCAGGATCGAAGTCAACCTCTTCCTCACCATTCATGTCCATCATGAGGATGGTGACATCGTCCTCATCTAACCCGCAGCCATCGCCATCTACTTCTTCTGATGTCGAACTACCAATGATGATAGCCATTGGCGTATCTGGTACAGGCAGGTTTCCCTGCATAGCCGGCGTCTGGGCGTCGCTCGGCTGTCCCGGAGTAGGAGGCACTGTTGTCGGCTCAGGCTCGTCGCCGAGCATAGGCTGCCCAGCAATGTTACGCATGGCCGTATGGTTTGGCCTCATTCCCACCGCCTGGAGGCCCCATCCTGGCGGAGGAAGATCATGACCGCGCATAGCCATTGCCATTTCCAGAGCACGACGCCATCTACCACGGGAGTATATCAAGTGTCTCTGCACTTCCTGAGGACACACGCTGTCAATGAGAGTCAGAGCTGCCAAAATTAGCTCTGAACTACCGCAAGGATCATTATCCTGTTCTGTCATGATGTCAGCTTCGATATGTTCTTGACTCTCAGGATAGCCAATTGTAAGTATCTCATGCATCCTCATGAGGGTCTGCAAAAGGGTACGTGGTCCATATTCGCCTGGAGCAAGCGAACCAGGAGGTATGAACGGAATATCTGGTTCGCCTGCAATGAATGCCTGAACAAATGCCTGAGACTCCATTTCAATTAAGTCTTCAGTGGTCTGGGGATATTCTCCCATCAAAGAAGGCCTGTTTCCAGGCGGGATTTCGGGCGGAGGTTCGAGGTTTCGTTGAACCTCGGAAGGCGAAGCCTCTATAGTGGTGTCCTCGTCGTCACTCTCGTAGGCCATGATGTTGCCTGGGTTCCCGAACATCCAGTCGAAGAATGAAAGAGGCTCGTTTCCAAGCGTACCGTGTTCCACGGGAGTGAGTTCGTTACTGCCCGTGACGAACCGGCGGACGTACTCGAGGTAGTACGCGTACTATCCATGACCATACCCCTCGAGCTCGTCGACGTTGACAATGCCAACAACCCAAATGAAAAATATCTGTTCCATAGCCTCAAAGTCATGGAGGCTCAGATATTCAATGGACGGTGCACTTGAGCCAAAATGGACTTCGGACGACATGCCCTTTCCATTTCCCTTCGCTGGACAATCTCGCACAAGGTGGTCGGAACTACCACATTCATGGCATTTGAGAACCTGGCCGTCTCTACCTCGCGGGTTTCCCCGCCTACCTTTACCTTTGCCTGAGGTCTCTCCACGGCCTTTACCACGGCCTTTTCCCCCAAAGAATATCTCATCATGTTGTTCATCTGAGAGCCTCTGGAGAAATGCCGCGAGGCCTCGCCCGTTCAACCTCCGACGACCACGCTTGCCTTTACCCTTTCCTTTAAAACTTCTGCGTATCCTCCTTCTAACACGACGCACTGGTTTTCGTGTGAACCTCCTCCACCTTCGTTTAGCCTGTTGTAACAGCCAGAATAAATGCTCAGCACGCTGATTGTCGTTATCCATATTCATGATACCTGACCAATCTAGAGCTTCAACACCATCTGATGATATAGTGTCTGTGTCGGTGCCGGAGTCGAAATCTTCGTCTCCTAAATAAGTGGATACACCGTCGGTTCGGGGATTTGATTCCCCCCATAACGAGCGGTGTGGTTGTGGTTCTCTAGAAGGAGGGCTGGTTGCCCAGCTTGGTTGTGATCGATCCCCTGCTAATAAAGCAGTGGATTCTCCTGGGTCATCGGCCCATATGTTCGAGGGCCCGTTTCCAGGCTGGGCTTCAGTAGTCAAGGTAGTGTAGAAAATTCCACTACCAGATCCCCTTCCTCTTCCAAACATGGATCCTATGTTGCCAGGGGATCGTTCGAATAGGTGGCCTATCGAACGCATCCTTTCCAGCAGCTCATCATATTGTTGTTGTGTTCGAGGCATTTGGTGGTTGAGTGGCTGTAAGAATTGCATGGCTTTCTGGCTGCCGACGCCTAAGGCGCGGAATAGGATAGTGGTTGGCAGTTGGAAGTTAGGAAGGTCGAATCCCACCGACTGTGCATCAAGTCGGGCCATTTCGAATCGGGTAAGAGTGACATCGGTTCGTTCCCCGTGAGGCACATGGAAGTCGATGAGTTGTGTGCCGGAAGTGAGCTGTCGCTCATCTTCCAGGCGTTCGAACTTCATGCTGAGGAGGAACATGATGTAAGTTACTGGGTCTGTGTGGACCCCATCAATGTCAGCACCATAGTTTATAATGTCAGGCGGTACCCTCATGGCGAGTGTCCTCGCTAGGCCACCTAGGCCGCGTTGTATTGCGGCCGCTTGGGCCTGTGGCGTCATACGTCCGCTTGTAACGTTGAGCCATGCGTTGACCTCGTAGATGTACTCACGAAAAGGTACATTACCTTGAGGGTCCCAATATGGGCCATGTGTTTGCCCATCGGTGCTGTTATCTCCACGACGCATGTGTCCGATTGCTGCCCCCAGCGCGAACCATATGATAGCGAAAACGTATAACCCGAGAATGTGTAACGAAGGACGGTTATGATGCGCGTTGTCGCGCTGGGGTAGCGCCTTGTCGAGTCTTCGAGGCGCTCTGTCTGGCGGGTCTCCCCGCCCTTGCTTCAAGTATTGCGCTGTTAGCTCGTTGCCGAGCGGTTGGTAGTAACGCAATGATGAAGCGTATATGGTACCAGTTTGGTCGTCTAGACGTCGTACCTCTCGTGTTGCTTCTTGCTCTTGAGTAGATCCTCGTAAACGTACTGGGAGTGGTGGCGCAGGGTGGTAGGTGGTCAGGAAGATCGTGCCGAAGAATGTGAGGCTAAGAAGAGCAAGAGCTGACCACACGAGAGTGCGGCCAGCTCCGCTACCAAGTCGAAAGTGAGCCTGGTAACTCAAATAGGGCATATAGCCTGGCAAATTGCATCCATCGCTCTGCTGTGAAGGTACAGTATGAGGGGTGGATGGGTAAGATAGGATAAGATCGATGTAATGATCTTTCCAGCACATAGCGAACACTCGCGGTGTCCGGGCAAATAGGGCGCGCGTGCCTTGAGCCCAAGGCAGCGGCGCGCGAGCTATGCTCCCGATACTGTAACATCTCCCAAAGAGCTACCCTTAAAGTATGGGCACCAACACCAACACTAGAAGATGACAAAACTGCATACACATAACCTCTTGCAGTTCCGAATGGATGTTTTGGATCGGCGCCGGGCCACCCTGGCGGCGCCTCCACCGCCACCCCTGAAGTCTACCGCAGACTCACACAATCCGCGCGGAGCTCCGAAAGCTTGTGTTTATGTCGTTGTCGTCTTCGACACACAGGGGTGTGCGTTCACTACAGGGAGGATGATCATAGATGTTGGTGCTCGGTGTTTTCATCCAGTCGCATAGAAACCCAAAAATTACCACCATCGCCGAAAAATGCCAACACAGGAGATTGCCCTCACCAGAGGAGGATGATCCTAGATGTGTGTGTGTGTGTCGGTGGTGTTATCAAGGCCGCCTGGAAACTCGAATCTGACCACGGTGGAAAATTCTCCCTCGGTGGAAGAACAAATCGATCTTGGTGTTGGTGTCAACCTCTAGGCCTCCGATCTCTTCTACCTTGCTGACACTCAGTTTTGATATGGAGGATGCACGGTAGAGGTGCGAGCCCCTTGGACACCCATGCCAAAGCTGTTCGAACGGTGCTGGCCATCGAACGTGGATAAGAAAGGACCGAAGAGGTAAGGATGCAATGGTACCCATTTGAAGGCTTCCATTCCTTATCATGTCATCGTCTTCGAATTGTTTACGGAAGAAGGGGATTGGACTCATCAGCGCGATGACGAACTCGGAGACGCAAGCGTGCATGCAGTGAAGTACCTCAATCGCCGTGCTAGGCGAACTGTCCTGCGAGCGATGCTGTAGATAATGTTCACTGTGCGGCGACACGCTCAGAGGACAGCAATAAACAAACACATAAGACCACCATGCGAACGCGGACGGATACACATTAACCCAATTGCCTATCGGCGAAGCCGGCCGGGCAACGGGAGGATGAACAAGGTAGCGACAAAGATCTAAGAATTGAGTTCGTGGCCATGGCAATTCCATCGGCGCGCAAGTGAACATAAATACGGTGAAACTCACACATGCAGCATGCACGAGAAGAGTGGGAATGGCGAGCGAAGCAAAAAGGGAGGAGGGGAACGGACCCATCAGCAGACAGCCTCCGTTTGTCAAGGAGTTGCCTCGTTCGGGGGCGGCCAGAAAGGGGCGTCCAAGAAAAGGGGGTGCAAATCATGGCCGGCGGCGCGTGCGCGGCCCAGAGGGGGGGCCAGGGACGTAATGAAATAAGCAGAGGCGCCATGACATCTGGGGAAATATGATGGCCCACGCCATGATATCCCCCCCCCTAATCATCACCCCTTTCTTTGCCGCCCCCGACTCGTTCAGGAGGGGAGCGAGGGCGAGACAGGACGAGGGGGCGGAGAGCCCGCCCCCCCCCCCAGAAAGGCTGGCCGGCGCTACGCCACTGGGGGGCGAGAGCGGGAGGAAAGAGAACAGGTGGGGACAGTGCCCCGTGCTGACGTGCGCCTTCGTGTCTTCGAGACACCGACTGCTCCTTGTGACTGATATTCTGAGACCTGGCCGGCCCGAGGGCCCTGCAAGAACTTGAAGCGCCCAGCCAGCCTGGCCCAAATGGCCCGGCGACTCCGATCGGGAGGAGGAGAAGAACAGAAGGAAGGGAGGGCACCAGAGGAAGGGAAAGGGAACAAAGGACACAACACCGAACCAAGCAACTCCACCGAGCACCCGTGCGCCGCTCAGCCGGCCAGTCCCCCGAAGGACCGAAATTCGGGCGGTTGCTTCAGCCCCAAAGCTGCTGGCTCGCACCATCCAGGGGGGGAACTCGTTACTTGTCCTCCTCCCCGCAGCGCGGGCGCCCCAGACAAGGAGGGAAAGGAGGAACAAAAAAGGAACACGGATAGTAAAATGATGCGGACGAACGGAAGACACCGAGGCTTTACCCAGATGCGGCCTACCAGGGCGCGGAAGTCACGGGAAGATGTCGCGCCCTCCACGAACGCCTTCACCCAAATGTCGTTCATGTCCAACACCTGGCTGTTCAGGGCGGCGTTCGTGGCTTTGGCGGTGGCGTGGGCCAGCAGCGCCCGGCGTGCGAATCGAAAGCTCTGGTATACCGTGAAACGCGGCCCCAGCAGCAAGAACTCGTCCAACCGAGCGCCAGGCTCCGGCGTCTCCAAACCCAACCTGCGGCGCGCCAGGCCCACAAGCAGGCTGCAGAAAGCGAAGTGTTGAATGCTGTATTGGCCGCGCCCACAACCGAAGAGACGAGGTGATCTCCTCTGTACGCGGAGACGTACATTTGCTGATCCCCTTGGGCATAGCGATCGCCTTGTCGACCTTGCGGCCTGGAAGAATTTACAATTGCCAACTGCCGAAATCGGCACCGCGCGTGGCAGTAGAGATCGTCGAGCAACCGCGTGCGCAGTAATACGGAACAGCGTTTCTGCCAATGCTTTTTGGGGGTTGCCGTGGCCTGATCACATTGCGCAAGCTCGTTGACACTGCGCCCGATCCCAGCAGCCTTGACGGCGAGACGGTCCGGACCTGAGCCACGTTTGCGAGGAAATTGTTCTTTCCCCAGTCACTCCAAACAACCTGGCGATCGAGCCAAACTGCGCGCGGTCACTGTTCAGGCCAGAGAATGACAGGGCCGGCCGACATCGAGGCCGCCAAATTCCACGCTGTCCCATCTACAAGCCGGGCATTTCGTCGCCACGGACGCGGCTCGAGAATCTGGGGACTCTGAAGGGAGCCCAACCCCGAAGTCTTGGGAAGAAGGTATTGCACAACGCGCGCTCGGCGTCGTCCCAATATGGTGTATATTCTTCAACTGCATCGAACAGCTCGCCAAAAGAGAAAATTTACATGTGGTAAGCACTTATGGAAGCCAGCTTACTTCCTCCAATGGAACACCATAATTTCGCCCTCTCGTGCATTTTCAGGGCTGCGTTTGTCCAAATATTGTGTTTCTGGCCAGGGCCCATGTAGAACCTGGGGTACGTGGCCCGGTCGGCGATCGTAAAGTCGCCTTGCATTGGCGCGCATCTCACGACATCATCTCTGGCCGCCGCATGGAACCGCGCTCGCTGAAGACGGTCCCCAGCACCCCGACGTCATGCTGTCTTTCTGGGAATGCCATAGGAAGGTCATCGGCGCATGCTTGAAACACCGACCGGAGAAGTAGCCGCGGTGGTCTTCGTAGCAGCACGTCTGGAAGCACCGCGGGCATCACAAACGAGAGCGGTAAACCTTATCTGACCCCAGCGGACAAACATTCCCCGGCATAGCCCCCACGCGATATGCTGCAACTGTCGGGTCAGCACGGGATCTCAACGAGTCTCGTGGCCCAGTAATGCCAACCACGAACTTTCACAACTTGAACAAAGAACTCGCGATCGATACTGGGGAGAGCCTCTTCGACATCGAACGCAACATCTTGGCAAAAAAACGCGTTCAGCATCGATTCTTCGATGTCCAAAACGGTCGCCTATATTGAGCCTCCTTTCAACAATTCCCACTGGATAAAAAAAGAAACCTGGGTATACAAGCGGGCTCGATGTGCAACCGTACCGCCCCGCACAAAATGCGGTTGTCAGTGTTCGTAATGCTGAGTGGGCGCATGTTGCCAGCTGGGAACACATCCGTGCCGTCTGCAAGCGTGGCAGCCGCTATCTTCGGCAATAACTTGTTCGAACTCTCTTTGAACGTGGCCCACTCCTCCTGCACAGGGCGCATGCCGTCGTCTCCGACCCGCTCCGGGAACGCAGCGTGAAGAGCACGTAAGGCGACGTACACGATTCTGCGCCAAGCTCTGAAATGGATACCATTCTTGCCTGGCCAACTGTCCCCTGTGAGGACAATGGCCCGGCGGCAAGTGTCCAGTGGGACGCTCTGCCACGGCAGGTGCGAAGAATACTCATGTGAAAGGTTCTCGGCGTCCCCCCGGAGCCACGAGTCCCGGAGCGTGCTGTCCGTGTCTGTATCCGTGGCAACTGTACCCCGATGCTTTTGCAACAGTTGGATCGTTGCGAGCGGGTCTGTAGTTGCTACGCTGCTCGAATCGCCGATGGCAAATTGCTTGCAACTGCGCCCCAGGGCCAAACGGCAAACCAACTTGTGATTCTCCCCTTTTCTCCGAGACGCCTGGTCCACTGTGAGGTTCTTCAAGACATCGATTTCGACTGCAAAACTGTCCCCCATGAAGTGCGCCTCGAATCCAGCGTGCCCGAGATCTCCAGCGTGTCGCATGGGAGCTGCGTTGCATCTTCGGGAGACCTTATCTGTCTCATCGCGTCACAATCCGCGCCGAATCCCTGACGAATCCGTGTCGGGCGCTTGGAATCCGCGTAGAATCCACGTCGAACCCGCGCCGTATCCACGGCCGAATGCACGGCCCATTCGTGCCGCCCCCGCGTCGGAGATCAGACAAGACAGCAACTGTGTTGGGGCATGTGAGGCCACCCCGAAGATGCAATGCGAAGGGAGCTGCGAGGACCGAGGAGTCAAGCCCACGCCGCTTCGAGGGCGCCGCCCATCCGAGGGTGACCACGGGCGCTGTTCTTCAGCCGGATATTCAGACAGTTAGAGAGGCCAACTCCTGGGAGGTCTTCGTCAAACCGAATGGGCGCGATTCGGCGGGACTGATGAGGGAGCCATTGAGCCGGACTGGGCCAAATCAGGCCTGGGATTCAGCCGGATTGGCGGGGGGGGTTAGCCGGATTGAGCACGATTGAACCAGATTGGGGCAGTTTTTGACCATGGAAATGCCAGCGCCGAATCTGAATTCAAACTCCGAAGAGTTGCATCCGAAAGAAAGAGGAGGTGGAGACGGATGCGGAGGCGGAAGGGACTGGCTGACCCCAGTCGCGCGCGCCCCAACCGCGGCGTGCCAGAGGACTCTGGACTCCAGCGCGAGATCCTCGAGGACCGCGGAGCGAAATCCACGTTGCCGGGGCCGGACCGAAACGTTGTTTTGCTGGACTCCGGCCGTGTTTTGTTGCTCGCTTTGGCAGGGAGGTGCAGGAGAACAGGCAGAGCAAAACGAAAAGCACAACGAAAAACAGCGTTTGGGTCCAGCCCTGCACGCTGCTAGAAGCCCGAGGCCGGCCGCGTCCAGGGTGTCAACATAGCGTCCTTCAGCGAGGGCCAACGATCGGGGGGACTGGTATAGGCGCTGAATGGGCGATTGGGGGGCGATGCATCTCTTCCTGAACCCATCCCCCCCATCGTCGCACCTGATTCGGTCGGAGGTTCAGAAGGGCATGCCCCGATTGAAAATGCACAAACCCTGAGATTTGGGCGTTGCCAAGTTTGCACGCCAAGCGTTCTCGCCCGGCTTCGGGCTCCGGGATCATTACAGGTCGACCTGGCTCGCATGCCGAAAAAAGTTTGTTCGCAAAGTCGGGTCTGCGGGGAATTGCGCAAAACTCACAGATCTGGGCCGCGTTCCACCCTCCGTGCTTTAGCCTCCCTGGGTTCCCCGGCATACGAACTTTTCAATTATGGACGTCGGCCGTGCCCACCATCTGCAGGTACCGACCCATCCGACTAACACACAGCAGCACAAATGCAGCGGGCACGACGCAAACGAATGTACATTAATATAGAAAGGTGGGACCTCATGTCCGCGATGGGAAGCCAGACTCTGAGGGCTTCTTTTCTGAGAGCAGCATATGAAGCAGCGGTCCTGAGAAAGAGAACGACGACATCCCCTTTTTGGGACTACCCATTGCTTTGCGAATGTCACACAGGGCGTCGCATAGCTCAGGGGTGCACCGAGCAGCCTGATGCAACAACAAAGGCTGCTGGCACGAATGGTCGCTCGCAAAGCACCTCCCGAACGTGCCGGTCCCGCTGCGGTCCTTGGGGTCGTACTTCGTCGTGCTTCCCGGCTCCTGTTGACTCTCCAGAGGGAAGGCTTGACTGAACCGATAAGATGCTAAGTGAACAAGACGAGCCCCTTTGCGAAGACACCATCGTGGAGAAACAGCGTCACCCGCGGCGGCAATCAGGGCGAGTGAGGCCAGCACAAGCGAGTTGGGATAGTCCCAGGACCTGGGATAATCGGCGGCACACAGGAGCTCGCGATATCCTTTTCGCACAGACTTCGCCTTCAGTGCAAGCGGTGTTGGGTAAAACATGTTTCTGGCGACATTTTCGGAAGAGCCGACAACAATACAGCACCTATTGATTTTGTCACACTGAGGGGGCCGAACGGTCATTCACTGTCCCTGGGTGCGTGGCTGAAGTGGGCTTCCGCGGTGCGAATTGTTGTTTTCGAGGCTGTTGGTGTTGTTGTTGCTGCTGCTGCTGTTATCGTTGAGGGGTCACCAAAATGGGCCCCTGGCCCCCGATTTGCAACAACAGCAACAACACCGGCTCCCGCCTGATAACCTGATATTTCAACGGATTGTATGTCCAAATCGCGCTCTCGCGCAAGACTTCCTCACAATCTATACAAGAGTCGTGTTCTCGCGTGGGACTTCCTCGCGATTTCTTCGGACGCCGCCATCGCTCGCGCTATCGTTCGACACCTCCTCGCGATTTGTGCAAGACGCACGCTTCAACAACTCGCCTGCTCGACCTGGCCGCTTGGAACCACTCTCCCGACCCGCCCGGTTGGATCTACCCGCCCGATCTGCCCGTCAGGTTCTGCCGCGTGCTTTATGCTCTTAGCCCCCTCTGATGCTACTTGTGTTTTTGTTTGTCTCTCTCTCTCTCTCTCGCGCTTCATCCTCCTCCCTTGCCCCTTGCCCCTTCCTTGCATCCGTTTTCTTCCCCCGCCTTAGGGGCTGCGCGAAATACAGGAAATAGACCGTGCATCTATAGACCTCCAAGGGGGCACGACCGAATAGGAAAAAGACGGGCAAATATTGTTTGGGATAAACGTGCTGGATGGCCCGCGAGGAGATAAGAAAAAACAGTCCTAAATTGAGTGGTGATGCTTATTATTGTTACTACTATGAATATTACTGGTGTTGCGCTTATTATTCTTGATCGTTTTATTAGTTTTGTTGCTGTTGTTATTGCAGTATCACTATAGAATATTTGTTTGTTGATTCCAGCTCCAGTGACCATTGTGTTCTTTCAATTGAAGTGTTCCCCCCGGGGCTCGCACTCTGCTTTCGTCTCAGCGAAAGCCAATCTGCTCAAACTGTGTTTTTGGCCCCCGGATCACAACAACAGTGGCTCCCACTTGAGACCTCCCAACAATTCGCATGAAACTTCATTGCATTTTACACAGGAAACGCGCTCTCGCTTGGGACGTCCTTCGCATGTATTCAAAAATCGCTCTCTCGGCGCTTTGGAGTCACGCTCTCGCTGGAGACTTGCTGGCAATTTACTTAAGAATCTCGATATTACGTTGAACTCCCCCTCGGTTTACTCAAGTGCCGCGCTCCCGACACTCAGGCGCCCAGGACTCGCGCTCTCGCTGAGAACTCCTTTGCAGCTTACTTAGGAATCGGGATATCGCTGCTCTTCGCGGCCCCGTTGCAACCCTTCGTGGCCCCTTCGCTGCATTCCGTGGCCCCGTTGCAACCGTTCGTGCCCCCTCTGTTGCTTGTCGTGGCCCCGTTGCAGCCCTTCGCGGCACCCTCGCTGCCATTCGCGGCCCCGTTGCAGCCCTTCGTGGCCCATTCGTTGCCTGTCGTGGCCCACTTGCAACCCTTCGTGGCCCCCTCGCTGCCCTCCGCTGCTCCGTTGCAGCCCTTCGGGGTCCACTCGCTGCCCTTCGTGGGCCCGTTGCAACCCTTCGCGGCCCCCTCGCTGCCCTTCGTGGACCCGCTGCACTCCTTCATCGCCCCCTCGCTGCCCCTCGCGTCCCCGTTGCAGACCTTCGTGGCCCCCTCGCTGCCCTTGGCGGCCCCATGTATGCATGCCCTTTCGTGGCCCCCGCTCGTTCGCGCCCGTCGTGGCCTCATGCGCGGTGCTCTTCATGGCCCAGCCGTCGCCCTTCGCGGCCCCCTCGCTGCATTTCGTGGCCCCGTTGCTGCCCTCAGCGGCCCCGCCTTTGCCCTCTGCGGCCCAATGTACGCGCCCCCTTTTGCTTCGAAGCGGGAAAATCAAAGTATTACTTGAAAAGAGAAATTGCGGAAGGAAGCAAGCTTTTTAGTAGAGTGCTGCTGCTCTGTTGCGCGACAACCACGACGGCGCGTCCGAATTGCCAAGCCACGTCCTACGCTCGCGCCCTGCACCTCCTGTGGGGCGTCTACAACCCACTGCAACATGAGTCAAAAGATCGCCGCGGCCCGATGTGACGCGACCCTGATCATTCAAGCAAAAGCATCGCGAGGTGAACTGGCGGGTGAGACAAGGGCCCCCCGCCCCCGACAAGGCTCTGGCCCCGCGTCCCCAGGGTTCTACCATGGCGGCTTCACTAAAACGGAGAGTCGGCGTCACTGACTAAAGCGAGGAAACGGTTGTACTGAAGCGAGGAAATGGCTCTACTAATCGAAGGAACGGATTTGCTCGAGGCGCGCGCTCAATGCATTCCGAATATATATATATATATATATATATATATATATATATATACGTTTCACGCAATCACAAAGAGAGCTTCAGTGCAAGCGGAGAGACGGCTGGGGTACAACTGCGCACGGAAATTTCGCCCCCCCTCCATAAAATCTGGCGCGGGGCTCCAGGAACGAAGACGGAGCGCAAGTTCACCCGTGGGCCCGGGCCGCGTCGCCACCGTCGCCGCGATGTTCGTCGACGCCGTCGCAGTTGCCGCCGTCGTCGTCGTCGCCGTCGGCGCAGGCGCCGCAGTCGTCGCCGCCGTCGCCGTCGTCGCCGCCGCGACGCCCGCGCATTCGCGTTATTACCAAAAGCGGGCCGCGCACGACCGCGCGCGCAATTGCGGTCGCATGTCCGCTCCTCCGACGCGGGCCCAGGCGGACATCGCGGTTTTCTACCACCCACAACATGTTTGAAATAACAATGGGAAAATGACGCATCTGATTCGTGGCCCCGTTGCAGGCCCACGCCCGTCGCGGCCCCGCGCGAGCGCCCTTCGCGCCCCCCATCGCTGCCCTCCGCGGCCTCGTTGCTACCCTCAATGGCCCCGCCGTTGCCCCCTGCGGCCACGCGGTATCTGCCCTTCGTGGCCCCCGCCAGTTCGCGCCCTTCGTTGCCCCGTGCGCGTGCCATTTGTGGCCTATCTGTCGCCCTTCGCGGCCCCCATTCCTGCCCTTCGTAGCCCCGCTGTCGCTCTCGCTTTCGCTCGTCGTCGTCGTCGCCGTCGTTGTCTTCGTCGTCTTCGTCGTCGCGGTCGGTCTCATGTCAGCCCCCCCCGAGGTCGGGGCGCCGCCGGCCAGCGCCGCCGCTGGCCGGGCCGACAGTCCGCGGCCGCCTCGCAGCGCGCCGGGGCCCGGCCTGCAGGGGCGAAAGATCTACCCCCCAAAAGGGGCGGGATCGAAGACGAAGAGGGCGGGCGTCGATGGCTCGCGAAACACACGTTGAATGACATTCGAGCAGAGAAGAGCGAACAAAATTCACATTATTGATGTTGTTGCTGCTACTGTTGTTGCCATTGTTGCTTAAATTCCCAGCCCTAAAATCTCTGGCGCCGTGGCGCCGCGCCCCGGCTCAAGGAGCAATCGCCATGCCGAGTCAAAGACGGCGGCGGGGGCTGGCAGCGGGCCCCCGCGCGCAGCAATAGCAAGCAGACGTCGGCAGATGGACCCAACATCAAGCGCGTCTCCTGCGTCTGCAACGCATGCGAGTCTAGCGCGAGGTTCCGCGAGCGCCGCGGAGGCCCCCTTCGCAAGGTGGCGGCAGCAGAGCCGCTGGCCCTCGCGGGCCAATGAGCGGCGATGCCTCCTGGGGCCCCCCACGTTACCGCCGGCGGCTGCCCGCCGTTGCTGGCCCCGCGGGCGGGGCGCAAGGCGCAGAAGATTGCCGAGGAGCTGTCAGATGAAGCCAGGATCGGGGCAAAATTTGACTTGCATGCCTTGTTTTTCAAATCACCAGGGGCGCCGCCGAACGGGCCTGCCACGCCTCGGGCGCCATCGGCTTCGCGAGGGAAGAAATGCGCCCTGGCGCGGACGCAGCCACGGCGCGTATTTGGCCACGCGCACGCCCGCCGGAATTCAGCGCCAAACGCCTTTCACTCCAGAAAACCCGACGTCAACAAAACAAACTTGAGGCCCCAAGGGGGCGGACCGCCAAAACAATCACGCAACCAACGCAACGAAAACAAAAACAACAACTTGTTCAATAGCGCGTTGCTCAGTGACCTCTTCGGCCACGCAGCGCCGCGATAATGCCCAAGAAGGCATTGGAACAAATCCCGCGCGCGGCCAGGCGACTTCCCCGCGCCGCACCAAGGTTCCCGAAGCGCGCCGAAATAACCGCAGGGAACACCCCGGGAAGTCTTTGGAAAGTCCCCGCGCCATGCAATATCCGCCACCGAACAATCTCGCGGACACCTAGCGCGTGCGCGCGGGCGTCCACCATGGATGCCCAACTCCGGTTTCCGAGACGATCGCGCGCAACCGCCTGGGAGCCTCGGCAACCACGCGATTGGCCCAGGGGCCCGCGGGCCCCAGGGAATCGAGGACCGAGTTCGCAACTCCGGAAGCATCGGGCGCGGCGCCAGCCAGTCGCTCGTCTCTGGCTGACAGTAGGCCGCCTGGAGACCCGGTAAAACCTAAGGAACCGCTTTTCAGAGATTCACAGAACCAGAAACCGGGGCGCGCCAAATTCTCGCGTCCGAACTTCTCTGAGAATCTTTGAAAATCTCTGAACTAGCCACCCCGCGTGAAAGATTCCCATAAACCCAAAACCTCGGAGCTGGCCGAAACTCTCTGAAAATGTTGTGGCCCGCGAAATTTGGCGCGCCCGGATTTCTGGTTCCGAGATTCTCTGAAATCGCGCTGCGGCGGCGCCCAGC